TTGCATAGTAAGCATGCAAGGGATATCGTATATGCCAAACATTGGGCTCCCTAGTCAAGTAGGCTCACAAGGTTTCGATCTTGTTTGAAGAATTCACACTCTTTAAAGCATAGTTATTAGATTCGACCTAAATATCAATCTGAACAAGGTATTGAGTCTTGGGTTATTGGTCGAACCGATGGGTCATTACATAAAAATTTACAAAAAAATATAAAGTATAAGGGTCTGTTCTCTTTACCGTTTTCAAACCGTTTTCTATTTTCAATTTTCCAAAACAGCGAAAACACGTTCTCTTTCCTATTTTAGGAAATACGTTTTTGAAAATGGAAAAAAAATTACATTGAAAACTCAAAACGTTCAAAACAACGTTTTGATTATTTTGAGCCAAAACACACTAATTTTCAAAAAAACGCGGAAAATGACTTATCAGACTTATCATCTCTCTCTCCCCCCTCTCCCTGGCTTCCTCTGGTTTTCTTCTTCCGATCTCACGAATCCGCAAGAAGAAATTTCTATCAGCTCATATTGCCAAATCTACGGGTTTTCTACTGGCTCTTTCAATCAGGTTTTCCTACTCTTACTATCCCTCTTATTAATCAATCTGCTATTTTTTTTTTTTACATATTTATTTTCGAAAATAGGAAAACCCAGCAAAGATTTCTTGAATCTAGGGTGTAGTCGAGTGAAGATTCTACACCGATTTTCTGGTCAATGGCATTTTTTTGTGAAAAAGAGAGAGGATAAATGCAGCTGCATGATGAACAATTCTTCTCATTTGCGTTACATTTATTACAGTTGAAATGGACTTTCTTGTACAATAATTAATATGTATATGTGTCAGTTTATTCATAATTTTGTGTTCAATTGAAATGGGTCTTCTTGTGACGGAATGAATTCGCATTTGCACACGTTTATATATAATTTAGGGTTAAATTGAACTGGGTCTTTTTGATTTGGTGGTGATGCAGTTGATGAGAGTGGTATTGGTCGACGTGGAGCCGCCAGCGTACTCAGATACTTGATCGAAGCGGCCATAATGATGTTGGAAGTGGTGTTGCATGTGGGCTATAAGATTTTTCGCAACAAAAGAGTTCCTTCCTCTTCATCATACTCTAAACAGATGCAAGTGTGCCTTCTCTCGTATTATTATTTACGAAAAAATCAGAATATCCTTTTCTGATTTTAGCTAAAAGCCTGGCTTATTTATTTAATGCAATCTGCATTGGTGTCCAATATTGGTTTTTTACTTTTTTGTTTTAAATTGGTTGAGTTCGTGTTTTGTTAGATTTATGCCATTAATATGAGCATTTGCATGCATATTGGTTATGTTAATTATTGTCAAGTTACATTGTTTGGATTAGTAATATTTTAAATGGATTGAGATTGAACGAATGATTGATTTGGTGTTACAGGACCAAGGTTCTGATATAGAAGTATATCGAGGGTTGGTTTTAATTCTTGACACGATTAGTATGATGTGAGGGAGGAGAAAGAAGATGATGATGACGACACTGTATTATCATAGCATTGCCTATAAATATGTGAACTCTACACATTTTAGATCAATACTGTTGGTGGGTCCAATTCTTTTAGTATCTCTTTTTGTGATTTACTTAAGTGGGTTTGTTTACATCAGTATAATTTGGCATTTAGCTAGTGTGGTTTCAGTTTTGGAAGAATTTTATGGGCTAAATTCAATGGCCAAGAGCCAACGTTTGATTGGGGAAAAACAGGCATATCTGCAGCAATGGACCACTTGGGTGCTTTTGATTGCCATTACATTGTATAATCTTGCGGCTGTTTTGTTACCCAGTGGGGCTTTGAGGCTCTTGGTAGAGCTTGCGATATCTCGGGATGAAGATATCCCTGCTTTAGTTTATGAGGCTCATTGAGTTATTAATAATGATTTTATCTTCAAGTGATGATGTCGTGCAAAGAAGGGTATGGAGAGAGAGAAGGAATGTAGGTTCTACTTCGGATGAAAATTCAGATGCGAGGCCTAACATAAATACTAGTCATGATACTAATTCAAATACTACTTTGGGGACATATTTATCTGTTGGAAGTGGTGAGAACGGGGTTCATTTGGTTAATGCCGAAGATGGTCAGATTTTTAGAGGGGCCGAACTCGCTGCACCTCTTATTCAGCATAGAATAATTGTCCATATGAATTCAGAGGAAGATGCAAGTCCAAGTGAAAATTTTGCTCTGGAAGTCATTTGAACTTTGGTTCTCATATTGTGCATGCTATTATTTAGTCCTGTCTGGCAACAATGAAAATAGCAATGACATATTCTA